CCCGGCCATTTTTTGGTTGCAGCTGTCGTTGTTTGGCGGGTCCGGGCTGGGGATTCGAACCCGCCACCTTAGGTGTACGTGGCTGGCGCCTTAGCTGGCTGAGCTATAGGCGCCGAGCCACACCCGGCTATTTTTTAGAGATGACGTCTCACTCTGGCTCAGGCTGTTCTCGAACCTATGAGCTCAGGGAAACCTGCCCACCTCGGCCTCCCAGAGTGCTAGGATTATAGATAGGGGTGAGCCACCTGTTGAATGCACTTTTTACTTACAGTATTTTCAACTTATGATAGTTTTATTAGGACATAGCCCCAGCCTAAGTCAAGCAGCATCTACAGTCCAATTCTAGAAATATGTAGAAGGCAGGGTCAACAGGATGTGCTAATGGAATGGATGAACAGATGAGCAATATGTGAAAAGGCGAGGAGAAAATGATCAAGGCTGATCCCAAGATTAACGCCTTGGTTCCTGGAGTTGTCATTCACTAGGGAGGAGCACAGCAAGCGGGGTGGAAATCAGGACCTCAGTTTTGGATCTGAGGTTAACATAAGACAGGGCTGATACAGAGAAGACAGCTGGATGTACCAGTCTGAATTCAGAGAGGTGTGGGCTAGAGACATCAGTGGGAAGGGGAGAGCATAAAAATCCACGGCATGGGGGGATCATAGAGGGAAGAGTGAAGACAGAGAGGGGAGATTCAGAACTCAGCCTAGGCCTGGGGGTCGAAGGTCAGAACAAGGAGGAACCCGGAAAGCAGCCCAGAAGGGAGGAGCCTATGTGGCATGAAGCCAAGGGGAGAAAGCGCTTCAGGGAGGAGGGGGTGACTGCTGTGTCCCTCCCTGTTCAGGGCCAAGGAAGGTGCAGCGTGAAGGCTAAGCTGGGGAGTTAGTACTAGAGGCTGAGAAGACCCAGACCGTGGCAGTGTCAGGGTAATGCTGATTTAAATGCTGATTTAAATGAAACGAAAGCAGTGAGTCTGGACAGCTCTTTCCGAAGAAGAATTCTTTTACCAAGAAGAACAAAGAGATGGCTCACGCCTGTAATTCCAACCCTTTGGGAGGCTGAACCAGGAGGATCTTTCAAGGCCAGGAATTTGAGATCAGCCTGGGCAACACAGGGAGAACCCCTGGAGAGCCGGGCCTGGTGGTGTGAACCTATAATCCAGTGGTTCTCACCCTTCCTAATGCCGTGGCCCTTTAATATAGTTCCTGTGGGTCCTGACACACAGGTTGAGAACCGCTGCTATAATCCCAGCTACTTGGGAGGCTGAGTCAGGAGGATCACCTGTGAGCTACGAACACAACACTGCACTCCAGCCTGGGAAATGGAGAGAGACTCTGCCTCATATATTCCTACATCCATACATTCATACGCACAAACACAAAGCAGAGAAAATGGGCAGTAACTAGAAGCAGAGGGACAGAGGTAGAAACGCCCCAATGAGAAGCAGCAGACTGCAGCATTTCCCCTGTGGGGCTGTGGGCTTCTCACCTGTGACTGGGGACGATGGGACACCTACCTAGGACCATTACTGAGCAGAGTAAAGGAGACCATGGGAGCAAACCATTGTAAAGATATGACACGAGGTCACACTATAGGGCCAGTGTAGACAGATCACACCTCTGAGGTCTGGATAAGGATTCTGGATTCTACAGTAACTGCTGGGGAAAGCCCCTGGGGAGGTTTGAGCAGGGGAGAGACATGATCTGAATCCCATGTTTAAAACTTCATTCAGGTTGCTGCGTCAGAAATGAACAGGGTACACCCACAGTCACGGCAGAATGATTCACAACAGCCAAGAGATGGAAAACACCTGTGTCCATCAGTGGCTAAGTGGATAAACAAGCTGTGGTCTAGCCATGCAATGGAGTATTGTTCAGACTTAAAAAGGAAGGGAAGGCTCGGTGCCCATAGCTCAGTCCCCAGGGCGCCAGCCACATAAACTGAGGCTGGCAGGTTCGAGCCTGGCCCGGGCCTGCTAAACAACAACAGCTGCAACAATACCAAAAAACAAAATAGCCTGGCATTGTGGTAGGCACCTGTAGTCCCAGCTACTTGGGAGGCTAAGGCAAGAGAATCACTTAAGCCCAAAGAGTTTGAGGTTACTATGAGCTGTGATACCATGGCACTCTACCTAGGGCAACATAGTGAGACTCTGTCTCAAAGAAAAAAAAAGAAGGAAATTCTAATACATGCTACAAAATGAATAAAGCTCGAGGACATTATGCAAAGTAAATAAGTCAGTCACAAAGAGATAAATATTCTATGACTCCATGTATGTGAGGTGGCAGATTCATACAGACAGAAAATGGAACAGTAGTTGTCACAGCTGGGCAGAGAGGAGATAGGAGTAACTGTGTGAAGGAGACAGTTGCAGTTTGGGAAGATGAAAAAGTTCTGGAGATAGGCTCTGTGCCTATAGCTAAGCGGCTAGGGCAGGTGTCCTCAAACTACGGCCACGGGCCACATGTGGCCCGCTGAGGACATTTATCCAGCGCGCCAGGTGTTTTTGCCGCTGCTGCCTGTCCTGCTTAGCAGCTGACTCATCCTGGGACCTGCAGTCTGGCCCTCCAACGGTCTGAGGGACAGTGAACTGGCCCCCTGTTTAAAAAGTTTGAGGACCCCAGGGCAAGAGCGCCAGCCACATAACACTGGAGCTCGCGGGTTCGAACCCAGGCCCAGCCTGCCCAACGACAATGACAACTACAACCAAAAAATAGCCGGGCATTGCGGTGGGCACCTGTAGTCCCAGCTACTTGGGAGGTTGAGGCAAGAGAATCGCTTAAGCCCAAGAGTTTGAGGTTACTGTGGGCTGTGATGCCACAGCACTCTACCAAGGGTGACACAGTAAAACTGTCTCAAAAACAAAAAAAAGAAAAAAAAAGCTCTGGAGATGACAGTGGTAACAGTTGTACACCAGTGGGACTATACTTAATGCCACTACCCTGTGTACTTAAAAATGGCTAAAATGATAAAGTTTGTCATGTATATTCTAATATACACATGAAAAGGACAGTAACAGGGCTTAAGAGGCCAGAGCAGCTGGGAAGGGTTGGCAGTACAATGACAGGAGCCGTCATGAGCATGGAGCTGGCCAGGACAGGAAAGCAGGTGACAAATGCTTAAAAATGTGGCAGCCCTGACTCATTCATTCAGTCAACAGATACACTGTTTCTGTGCCTGGCTCTGTGTCCAAGGCTGAGAAAATAGACATGGCGGGGAAGGTGCTCACTGAGGAGGGTGGCACGGTCGGAGAAATACCAACAGCATAGGTGGAGACTCAGGCAGGTGTGTGGACAAGCCCAGGCCAGGTGTAAGCATGGTGGCAGGCCTCACCTGCAATCCAGTCATATCCCAGGTGAGGCGGGAGGTGCATGCTCCTGTCAGGTAGTACAGACTCCTTGGACTCTTCACAGAAGGTCACTTTGGGCTGAAGGGGAAAGGAAAGGCAGGTGCTAAGCCACAGGCCTGGCCCAGAGGAGGTCCCACCTCAAGGGACAGAAAGAGACTGTGTCTGTGATTATAACTGACTTGGGCCCAAGCGATCAAGAGCTAAAGGGTCCCTGGCCCCTGAGCCTCATTCTTCTCATCTGAATAATGGGACCCATCACCTTCTCCCCAAAATGCTATCTTAGAAACTAAAGGCCAGGGGTGGTGCCTATGGCTCAGTGAGTAGGGCAGCGGCCCCATATAGCAAGGGTGGCGGGTTTGAACCCAGTTCTAGCCAAACGGCAACAACAACAACAAAAATAGCCAGGCGTGGTGGGCGCCTGTAGTCCCAGCTACTCAGGAGGCTGAGGCAAGAGAATCGTCTAAGCCCAAGAGCTGGAGGTTGCTGTGCGCTGTGATGCCATGGCACTTTACGAAGGATGACAAAGTGAGGCTCTGTCTCTAAAGAAAGAAAGAAACTAAAGGCCACCAATTCTCATGCACTAAGACTGAGCCAGATCCTCAACCCTGCGAGGACACTGCACATGAACACATTTGTCAGGGAAATGGAGGCTCCAGGAAGCTCCCATCTGTGGATGCCCCGCTCTCCCGTATTACCTTGGACTGCTTGCTTCCTTGAGCCAAGACAGACTTCAGGGATTGTTCCTCCTGGGGCCCCAGATCACCTGGCCCTGCAGAAGGCTCTGGGTCCTTCAAGTCTGAGGTGGCCGCCTTCAGATGAGGGGATGAGTGGGATCTTGGCTGGCCCAGAGACTCCTGGTGCTGGCACTTGGCAGGCTGGAGAGCAGCCACCTTGCAGCTGGCCACATCAAAGGGGTCACTTTGGTGGGCATCTGGTGGGCCCTTAGGGTGGCACTTGCCCCGTGGGCAGGAGGCTCTGGAGGAAGCTGAGGGAGTCTTTTGGGACCGTGACATCTCTGTGTTGTCATTGTTGCTGGAGTCCAGGCTGGACTGCAGAGGAGGGGCCAGATTACTGAGGGACCAGCCCACCGGCATCCACCCACCTGGCCTGTACCAGGCACCAAGGCCTAGGTCCTCATCCTGCTCTGCCCTTAGCAGTGTCCTAGGATAGTCCCTTTTCTCACCAGGCCCTCAGTGTTCCCACCATCAGTAAAATTGGCATGCTAGCCAAGATGTCCCTGGTGGCCTGGATGCTGCCCTGAGGATTGGGCAACCCCTTCCTCATCTCTGAGGGCTCCCAAGGTGGGCACCCACCTCTGAGGCTGCCTTGGCCACCGACCGCCGCACGGCATCCTGCCCGACCCACAGCTGCCTCAGGAGCTCCAGATTGAGCATCCGCAGCTCCAGCGGGTCTTCCACCATCCTGTAGGGCCCAGCTTCTCACAGCAGGCGTCACTGGCCCCAGGCTGCTAGATGTCCTCAGGGCTGGGTTCCAGGCCCAGCGCTTTTATCTGAAGTCAAGACAGTATAAGACAGGACTGAGAGGGTACCCTGGGGTGCCAGAGGCCTAGGTTCAAACCTGCATTCAGATACTCTGTTTTGTTTGGTTTTTTGAGACAGGTTCTTGCTCTGTCACCCAGGTGGAGTGCAATGGTGTTAGCTCACAATAGCTCACAGCAACCTCAAACTAGCTCACAATAGCTCACAGCAACCTCAAACTCCTGGGTTCGAGTGATCCTACTGTCTCAACGTCCCAAGTAGCTGGGACTACAGCTTCTAGCACCAGCTACCAACACCATCAAACCAGGTTAATTTTACTTTTTTTGTAGAGATCTGGTCTTTCTCTTGCTCAGTCTGGTCTTAAACTCCTGGCCTCAAGTGACTCTCTCACCTCAGCTTCCCAAAGCGGTAAGATTACAGGGGTGAGCCACAGCGGACCTATATCTGATATTCTCCTGAGGCAAATTATCTAGACTCTCTATACCTCAGTTTCCTCATCTGTCAAACAAATGATAACAGCATCTACCTCATATGATTGTCATTAGGATTAAACAAGGTAATGCAAGTTAAACTCTTAGTACAGTGGCTGACACACAGTAAGCATTCAATAAACATCTGATACTCTAAAGTGGCCAGCACGTGTTTCCTTTTTTTTTTTTTTTTTTTTTTTTTT